AAGCATTCATGTAATCTTAAAACAAAACGAACAAAAGCACAGAACATTATCTTTGGCACACAGACCTTTTTGTTTCAGTACTGATATTTGCTAGAACTAAATTCAATACTACAATAAATAAAAATTTGAGTCAGATATCTGGACTGGGGCACAGCTGCTGGAAGACAGGAACTATCATGTGCTGGGATCCCAAACAGTATCAACTCCATGCAAAACACATGTAAATTAGTCAAACCATCTCAAGTTGCATCAACATCTCAAAATGTTATTAAAATGCAGCCAAAGCTGCTAAGAAGGTTCCAGAGCTTCTAATGAGGTTTTCAGTCTGCTGAGCAATGACCACAAAGGGCATCTTAATGTAATTGTTTACTAGGAAAAACTGATAACCAGTATTTGTTACTTTTAATAGCAATATCTAGTGCCAGAAGTAGTATCTCCAATTATACCCTTTTAAAAGGCTTACTACTGTGTTAATAAAAAAAAAAAAAAAAAAAAGGAATAAGAGAGGATGGTTTTCCAATACGCCAGCAGAGAACAGTACAGTATACGCAGTTGCACAGAAATGTCGGATTCAAAACCAACCATACGAATTGTACACCAAAAACTTGCTAGGAACAGGACATGGAATTAGCCCATTGTCTCTGAGGGAGCTACTGCATAAAATAGTGAGAAGATAAATTGTTTTCTGTACCCCTTAGTGGCTGGACATCAATGCTGCAGCATTGAAAACTGCCTTCCCAAAAGCCGTGAGGGAAATAAATGCAGAGATTAGGATTGCTGCGATACATAGGAGAGGAAAAAATGTTAAAAGGAAACTTTTAATGAAGGAATGGATGAAAGACTTCCAACTACAGGAGATTAGCATTCTTATCATATATACCCTTATTGCAAAGAAAAGGAAAGAGGTGGGAGGGGAGAATCCTCCTTCAGAGACCTGGAACCTTTGTCACACTAAAATTGAATTCAGGGCATTAAATAAATGATACAGTTTGCAGTAATTCACTTTCTATACTTTATTGTGCACTCCAAAAAACTTAAAAGTTCAGGAAAATTGTGCTGAAGACTTAGGATTTACTGGATTGTAGAACGATAAATTAAGGAAAAAACCCTTTCTGAAGTAAAAAGAAACAGCTCTGTGTATTTTTCTAAATGTCATATAAGGAAATGTAAAAACATGACAAGCTGAGTATAAGTGATGTCCATAGGAAACGACATGCTATGGTCAGTATAGCCAGTCTGTTTTTGAATTCATCTAACAGCATGTAATTTTGAGAGTCTTGTTCAGGCTTCAAGTATTTGCAATCTCACCAAAGAAAATTAAGTCAGAATAAGGTGCATCAGAAGCACTACAGATGCAGAACTTTCCCCTTGCTCTCTTACATCTCTCTGAATGAAACAAGAAAGCCAGCATCCATCTTCATGCTGCAAGTAAAGAAATTTTGGAATTTTTTTTTTTTTTTTAGATTTGCTGCAGAAACAGCACTTATATGGCTAAAAGTTGCATTTTATAGAGATACAAACACAAATAGTTCTGGTGTCAGACAAACAAAAGCAAAAAAGTGAAAGATAAAAGAAGGGGGAAATTCTAATACGGTCCAGAAAGAGAGAAAAAGTTTTCATCTATATGATCTGACCAGCCATAATTTTCAAAGTATTAAGGCAGAAAGTTACAGATGAATCTTGGTTTACGATCAAGAAACCAATGCTCAATTTTCTGAGGCAAAGGGACCCCTCTCTATGTTACAACAGGAGGAAAAGGTCACTGAAGCTAAAAGGCAGGATGCAGGGAAGATTCTCTCTGTTTTGGAGGAATCAAGAAAGAAAGCATGCTTATAAAAAATGTTAAAAATTACAAGGCTATTAGTTTACAGCAGAGCAGGCATATAAGATGCATAAAAACTAACACAATGAAGAGAGATATGCTTAATTCCTTTTCCTGAGTGTTTTTTTTTTTCGATTCCAGTGGAAATTCAGCATCACAGACACAAAAACAGACTCATCAAATAACTGACAAAACAGCCTTCTCTGGTAGTCAGAGTATTGTTCACATTTCAGTTGCCCTTTTAATGTGAAACAAACTGGATATACACACCATGGAGCTGTCATGGGAGGTCTGTCCCATTTACACAGCCACAAGCACTTTCTGGGGAGAAGGGAACCAGCAAGGTCTCACCAGGCACTAAAATTTTTATTACATCCTTAATCATATTTCAAGCATTTACAATTTATATACTGTGTAATCTGCTAAATATTTGATCTTGTTCTTTAAAATGCTGAAAACATAACTATACATGCTTCAAAATAATTTATATGGATTAGCAGAGAGTATCTTTAAAAGGATAATTTTCCAAAACAAGTAATTTTTAAAAATTCCTTCCTTCTTTGAATTTAAAAATGTTATATTTAAGTTTCAAGCTTTATAGTCTATATAAATTTAGAAGCAATACTACATAAGCTCAATACACAAATCATAGCTACTTTATGTTTAAGATTTATGGCTTTTGTTCCCTAAAACCAGCAACAAGGTTTAAATTTAACAATATTTTGATGCTGTTTTGGCTTTAGATTATATACATGCAATGGAATGAGTTTATTTTCAAAATGCGTCTCTGCACCACCATCATCATATGTGTTAGAAATGAAGCAAGAATTGAACCAAACTTTCTACACTGAAGCTACTTGAACAGCATCCATAGAAATTTTAGAAAAGGTAGAAGATTACAGGTTTAGCCTACAATTCAGTTGTGCTGTATATTTTACATGCCAGCAAATATTCTTATGTTTAGGGGTTAACATTAAAGCATGCTAATCTGTTCAAACCATCATATACAGTAGATTCAAATACACCATTATTAGCTTGTTCCTTTACACTCAAAAGAAAATGTGCAAATGCTAAGACTTTCTGTAAAGTAATACAAGGGCAAAAAGGAAAAAAAAAAAGATGGCTATACAAATCTGTACAAAACTGATGACTATTGATGACTATTCTGCACATCTTAAATCTCCAAGCACGAGACTACTGTTGATAATACCATTACTGATGTTAGGCAAAGCACAAGAAGGGTTTTCAGTGATGAAGTAGTTACTGGAACAGCTTGGAGAATAAAAATCACAGAGTAGTAAAATCACATTTACACGCATTGTGTAAATGTCTGTGACTTCCAATTCAAGCATCTCAAAATAGATGTAGCACTCTTACATTAAAGGAAACAATTCAAGTTCTGTTCGTTTTGACAAGTTTATACAGGATAGGAAAATTCTTCTCCCATATCTGCTTTGAATGCAGATTGGTTATTGTCCAAATCTAAGCCAAAATAAGAAACATATCACTATAAGCTGCATTTATTGTAAAAAAGTTTAAAATGCTCTGTTTGAACATTTGAACGCCTTTAGTACGAAAGCATAAAGAGAGAGGGATGAATTTTCATTTTCATGTTAGACATAATTAATCTGATTAATTACAAAACAGTTCTCAAAATGTATATTTGTAATTTTGAAATTTGAAAAAGACTCAAAAATTAGCTCAAACAAATGTTTAAACATTGTTCTATTTTGGGCTAATCTTCAGAGCTACCATCAGCAATTTCAGTACATAAATCTGAAAACAAGACAAAAACAAAACAAAAAAAACAAAGAATCCTAACCCAAAATAATTTGCCTATCCAATAGTTATGAGAAAAACAGAAGCTAATCTGAAAAAGGATTAACAGTGCAATGCACAGACTGTATCCCTGTTAAAGGAGACACCACACGGCCCGAAATATTTGCTCCCCAACAGGGAAATTCTTTGAAGAAAAAAAACACAAAGTGATTTGCTCTAGTTTTGAAGAAAAGGTCAAATCAAGAAAATATAAAAAGAAATCTACTGATAAAATTTGGCAACTTCTAATTAATTCTTAAATAGCTATTTCTTAATAACTTGCATTTTACAAGCATTAAAAACATTTATAAGAAAAAAAACCAAACTCTAAATATAATGTGGCTATCTTGGTTTATAGAACAGCATCTATATTCTTAGACAATCCCCTGATATTGCACTGAAAACACAGAAAGCTATTTTAATTATCTGAAGCTTGGGCAACTACATGGAGGTCTTTTATCAACTACCTGAGATACAATGCACACTATAGTCTATATAGCAAAGGACTATGGATAACCAAGCAAAAATATACACAAGAAACACTCTAGATGAACTAGAGCTACTGAACTGGCAAGAATACTGAACTTCTTTTCTGCAATTAACAGAAAAGCAGGAAAGAAAATCTTCCAGTTTTCCCTTCTCAAAGGATCACTACCAACATGTGAAGGACATCATTGTTTGTACAGTCATCCGGGGTGGGGAGCCCACTTTACTAGTGTCAGCACACAGTTTAGAACTACAGAACAGTCCATTTCTCTCTATTCTTCCCCATCTCCTGTTACAGTTTATCCCTTTCTAGGGGGGGTCTAGCATACAGGAAAATGTTAAAAACCATTTGTGCCTCCATAATAGGAGGCAGAGGGGCAGAAATTTCTGTCTGGTTTCACAAAAAGATGAACATTGCTCCCTGGGCTATGATCACTAATTATGTTCCTACCCTGATTTATTTTTCAGAAAACTTACTGTAGTTATATAATTCCTACATCTCAATTTGTTTAGGTCTTTAGTCCCGAAACTCTTTTTTTTTTTTTTTGTTATTTACTGTTTTCAGCAACAAGCCACTGCACCCCTCTTTATCCCCTACACTCCTTCAACAAAGAAACAGAAAGTTCACAATGCATGTCACTCTGCTACTGCAAAATTTCTAGCAGCAAGAACACTGTTTTAGTAGCCCATTACAAAGTACGCTTGCATATGTGACACTCTGGAACAATGCTGTAGATGGTTATTTGCTTCATCACAGTTTGCACCCAACATTATACACTCCCATTCACTTTCTATTTACGTTCCCTGCAAAGTTATGTCATGAAGGTCATGCAGTGCCATCCCTTCCTCCCCCAAGAGATAGGAAAGTACTAACCTTCACCAACAGAAGTTCCACAGCCTTCAAGGTTCAAAAGGATATCTTCATCTTTGTCATCCGTACTGCATTCCAAAAGCATCCAACTCTCCACATTATCACTTTCAGATATCAAGCTCTCCTCCTCCGTATTTGAGCTATCATCTATTACCATCACCTCCTGCAATGTTCTAGTGGAAGTAACAGAGCTAAGCTTCCCACTAGTCCTTTTCCTTTGCCTTGAAACTTTTGTGACTGATTCAGCACCATCCAGAGCATTAGACTCAGCAACTTTGGAACGATTTGGTGTGGAAATTCCTGGATGGACACATTTTTTCTCTGAATTTACAGAGTTTGCTGACTTCTTTGCTTTGCTTTTGTAAACACTGTCTTCATCCGGTGTATCGGACAAGACGATGATCTCACGGTCATCTGGAATCTGAATGACATCATGATCAGGCAGTTCAACAACGTTCTTGTCCTGATACAATTTCTCAGTCAAAACTGAACTCTGGCCACTGACTTCTGTAACATCAGCTTCTTTGTTTATTTCTAGGCTACTGATTTCTCCAAGATCTTGGGAATAGTGGATCTGGCTGTAAAGATGAAATTCTACCTCACTATCAATACTCTGCTCACTGGATGATTCCTCATGATAAAGTTCATCTTCATACACTTCAGTATCCTCTATGTCTTCATATCCATCAAACATTCTGGGAAGAAAACAGACTGTATCTACCAGAAAAAAAAAAAAAAAAAAAAACAGTCAGTATGATCAAGAATGCATATCCAAAAGCACCTTTCAAGTGATATCTTTGGTCTTTGACAATAGCATGAATAGCTAGAGTTAGTCTTATAGATACAGGTGATAGGACTCAGCAGATTAACAGCTACAAAAAATAAATTCTCACAACATAAAAGCTATCTCTATATGCAGAACACAGGGCTGTGCAAATTTTAGCTGCACAAATAAATTCTCACAACTACAATTTGAACACTTACCTAAGGCCTCTTGTTTAATCTCATGTAGTACTTTAAACAAAACTACTTTGACTTCTCAAAGTTATATTTAATTTGCCCTCGGTTTCTTCAGCTCCTCTCTACCGCTTCAAATCTAGCACTCCTGGATTGGAATTCTTGGTTCCCCGGCTTCATGGGAACCCAAATGAAGTGTCCAAACTCTAATTTTGATCCATTCTGTTAGTTCTGGGTATTTTGCAACCTGTGTTACTAAGTTATGTTGCATACAGTTGCCCCAAAAAACACAGAAGCAACATTCATCAATATTTACAAAGGTAACTCGAAGCATATCCACACCTGGGCAGCAGAGTCAAGTAAGTAGGTACTTTGAAATTTGAACTTGGAACCAGAAGTTCAAGAAATATGGTACTGAAGTACACACACACTTTCTGCAGAGGTGCAGATCTACAGGTAACAAAAGAAAAGTATAGCAAAGGCAGTGCACAAGCCTACAGCCTTTGTGCACACTTTGATCTGAGTTGCCATGCCGTGTATACAGCAGCAACCCTTCGTAACAAGGAATACCTGCAGACACCATCAGCAGTCACCAGCCCAGATCAGAATTAGCTATGAGATCTCTGTACTGCTACCAGTTGTGTGTAATAATGGCCTTTTGGCAGATCTAGAAAGTCCAAATTTTTCTTCTTGCCCACTTAACAATAAAGTAAATGTGCCATAAGACCTGAGCAAGACTGGAAAAACCAGACAAACTGCCAAAATGGGCCAACAGGAATTTTAGGAAGTTCAACAAAAGAAAACACTGAATTCTTGCACATGGGAAGGAACAGCCCGTACATGAGCACACGCTGGGGGCCAACAGCCTGAAAATGATCTGGGTGCCAGGAATGCACCTTTGCAACGTCCTATGAGAAGAAGCTTAGAGAACTGGTTTTGCTCAGCCTATAGAAGAAAAAGCGCTGAGAGGATATTAGAGTATAAATACCTGATGGGAGATAGGGTAAGACGGAGCCAGACTCTTCTCAACAGCACCCAAAGACTGGACAGGAGGCAAAAGACTTTTATTAAAATACCGGAAATTTCATCCACAAGCAAGAGTTTCTTTTCTTATTATGATTGTTAAGATGGCCAAACACTAGAGCAGTTCACTCAGAAAACCTCTGGAGTCTCCATCCCAGAAGATTTTCAAACCGTGGCTGGACATGGTCCTGAGCAACCTGACCTAGCAGGGCCAGCTTTGAGACAAGGAAGTTGGACTAGGCTATCTCCAGAGGCTCCTTCTAACCTCAGCTATTCCATGATTCTATGATCCCAATCAAACAGAGAGCTCAAAAAAGATCACTAAATATTCTCCAGCAAGAAAGAAAATTCAAAGATACACTGAAGTTACATGGCTAATTCATAGACCACATTTTTTATGCATTATGCATTTTTATCATTATGCATGGAGAATAAAAATAATACTCTCTCTTCATTTCTTTACTATGCTCAATCCTGGGGAATTCAATATAAGATTTTCTAGACAGGAAATAAATATCAGACTGAATTTAGTTCTTTGCTTGGGGAAGAAAGAGGTAAGGTATTTTTAAGCCCGCATGGAGATATTCAGGTACAAAAGAGATCCCGGAGCCTTATGCATTGGTAATTTGTGTAATGATAGTATTTAAAGACCCTAAAAACTACCATTATGACAAGGTCTTTGAGCATCACAGAGTCTCTGATCATGACAGATTTGGCCTCATGTGTTCTCCTTTAGATCAGAAGTCAAATGGAAAACATCTTTTTCCAGAGAAAACATCCATGTATATGCAGGAAAATAGTGTACTTATTGACAAATTATATGTTCTGCTTAGGTTTCAAGTAGATCAGCACACACCACTCAATAGTCCTCGTACAGCTATAATGGTAATTACCTGGTAATAATCTGCTGAGATCAAATTCAAACAGCATCACAGCTTTCCCACCTAAACACGGACAATAAAAGCTTCTTCCTAACTTAACAGCAAAGCCTTCAAAACAAAACAATGTAGATCTTAATATCTACTTTAAGACATGATCCTATCTGCATGATGACCAGGTAATTAGATATAGACATCTCTAACTTCAAGGAAACAGATCAGTCCAATAAATTTCTAGAACTCACGCTTGGGGTCTCTACTTCGTAACATAATATATGCAATGGTAATCTGATACATGGATCTATCTACTAAATACCAGACTTTATTTCTCTCACTGTGTGGGTTTTTATATATATGCAATCTAAAGTATGAAAGAACATAGCCAGGACCATGATAAACCTATTTTCTACTGGTAGCTAGGTATGTACACTGTATTTACAACTGAAGAGTAACTGAGGTCACTTGAACTGTTTAAGATAGTTAAAAAAAAAAAAAAAAAGACACCTGACAGACCAAATAAAGCAAGTACATTTTAAAACTCATCTTTCAGATCCTAACTGGTTCTGGGCCACACACAGAATGAGAAAAAAAAAAAAAGTAAACAAGTAAATATATACTATGAATATCTGCTCATGGCACACTCTCCACAACACAAGAAATCAAACATTCCCGCAGAAGCAGGTGGGAAGTTTAACGATACTCAAAAAAAAACAAACTTGCTAATTCAAACACTCCTGTCACATTATTACTTCAGTTACATCTCAATAAAGTTAGGCAAAGTAAGCAAACGAGTTATTACTGAAACATGCAACTAAACTTGAGATGCCAGAATGCCAAAGTAGTGGACTCATAGACACTTCATAAACAGGACAGCAACAAGCAGCAGCCTTGTACCACAACTGCTTTGAAGTATCCTCTTGGATGTCACACTGGATAAGGGCTCTCCCTTCCTTTCCACTACTCACTCAACAGCAGAATGTTGAAGGGCTCTTTTTCTTCCATTCTTGTATTTCAGAACACCAGTAAACACAAAAAAATACTCTGCAGACATCCACTTCCACCCTTCACCTATTGTCAAATAACTATACCCCACGTGAGAAGAACCTGGTTCAACTGCTCTTGAAAAGAGACAAAACCACTGCCCACAGGAAAGGGAGAGAAGAGCTTGGTGAAGTTTTGCTTGTTTTCTTATTGTCAAAGTGAAGCCATCTCCTACTGAAATAAATAGAAAAGAAAATTTCTGACTCAGCTATTCAGGTTTCCTTTCAAAACTGGAGTGTGTAGGCTATGTCCAATACTTTATACCTTTTGGCTGCCAGCTAGATGACAATGAAGTAATTCCTTATGTCTGAACATGAAAAACTTGTTAAAAAAAAAAATGGTCCTGCAAAGAATAGCTGATTTTATTGGTCATATGGACTGTGGACAGCATAGCAGAAAGATGCCTAATATTCTGGAACTGGCCAACCTTACTCCCAAAACAAAACAAACAAAAAAAAAACAACAAAACTTCAAAACCTAATGCGTGGGAGTTACCGCTCTTAATCAAGAAGTATTCTACTGCTAACTGAACCAGAACACAGCCTTCCAGGCAAGCACAACTTTCCTTGAAATACTTGACTATATCTCTGACAGATAAGAACACTTCAGGTAAAGAGTTACTGTTGTTACGTTAAAAAACAAATAAAACCAACCAAACAACAACAACAAAAAACACTTGATTCTTTTAAGCACTTTTCAACAACAACAACAAAAAAAAACCCTATACCTATGGCTATACCTAGAAATTGTTGGGGAAAGAGAGGAGCGGGAAAGTTTCTCAGATTACATACAAAGTGTGCTTCAGAGCGTATTACATCTAGTCCATTAAAATCACCACTTGGTGAAATAACAAAAATTGGCAGTGATAATGTCATAATCAGAAGATGCTGATGTTGACCTGAAACCTAGGAAATAAAACACACAAGTTACTCAAAACACGCAAGGCCTTTTTCAAGTTGCATGAGGAAAACTGCCTCCTCATCCCAAAGTTCTTAGTAGTTTGGGACACTCAGAAATAAAATGAAGGTGCATCGTATAGCTGCCAGTGAGATGCCTGCGACAGTCTTTCCTATGCCGTTTCTGCCTCATACACCTTATTTCCCCTTATCTCCTTTCTCCCTTTCCTTTCCTCTGCAGAACCTCCTTCCGCTGTTCTTACTTTTTCAAATCCAACTTCAAAAAAACACTCTACAATCCCCTTTCAAAAAACCCAACAGTGAGGACTTCAAAAAAGAAACCATCTACAAGAAGTATTCATTAATTGCAGCTAAGAAAGTGTTTATCCTTTGTTGTGGAAAAAATAACTTTTCAAACTACTGGTGCAGTACTGCCACCAGTGAGTTCCATCTATTTCCTCACCCCTCTTGCTCTTGTATCTTTGCAGTAGTGTTAAATCTAACTTTTGATGACAAAAGCTGCATTGAAGGTAAAAATAACAGAATGTAAGAGTAGCATAAGTCTTTCTGTTATAGGTAGGAATAACAACAAAAATAGAAAAGATCATTTGAGGAAATTACCCAAACTTCCTAAACTCACAAGTCTCTACCATTTTGTTCAGACAATATCAATACGGTTTATACTTTACTGCAGACTAGTAATCTTTCTTGTTTGTTTTTAAAGTTATGCTTCTGATATAGAAGCTGACCAGTGCTTCAGACCAGCAGTTATTGCGTGTAGGCACTTAACAAAAAAATGATTCATCCACCTAATAAACTTAGTAAACTTTAAAGATTACTGCATGTATCCATCTGCGGATTATGAAAACTTTTATTTAAACTGCTATCCTATGAAGCTATGTAACTGCCATATCTAAATTCCAAAAAAAAAAAAAAAAAAGAAAAAGCTTACTATAGGAGGATAATGTAAGGATGCAGCTCTACATCACTTGCATTACTTCAACCAATGAAGTTTCATAGTTGTTATTTTGGCATAAAGTGTCACCAAACTCTACCCAAGACAGCTACAAAGACTTTTTTTTTTTTTTTTGGTCTTCTAAGGTAAGAGAGGCAGTTTTGAGAAATATAGACTAAAACCCTGCATGGGCATTCTCAACTTAGATCAAAAATGTTCTCACAGATAATGTTTCAAAACAGCTACCACGAGATAAATACAATGACAGCTACTCCTGCCATGGATCAAGGACCAAAATGCACTTATTAACACAATTTCAAGTAGTCAAAAAACAGGCAGATAGCACCATACATCTGATCTACTGAATACACTAGCTATTAGTTTACTTTCTGGCTACAGTTTGAAAACAGCTTGTTCTGAGGATAACTTGAATTGTGCAGTGCCAATAGTTCTCAAATTCATTCCTGTGATGTTAACTTACTGTTAACTTACTGTGTGTTCCTAAAATGTTTTTTTTTCCACCATATGTTCAAATAAATACAGCACGAATTAGTCTAAAGGAGCAAACAAACAAAAAGAAAACAACAAGACACAAAAAAGTAAACAAAGCAAAATAAAACAAACAAACTAACAAAAAGCAACACTTTCAAGAGATCACAGGAAAATGTCTTCTATCCCCAAAAGCCCTGGGGGGAAAAAAAAAGCTTTAAAGCACTTGGGCAGAGATTTCTGCCTTCTCGCAATTTTCAGGATCATATTTAAAGGTGATGATTTTTATTAGCACCATATACTTTCCCTTGGATCAAGGACAAATTTGATCTAGGCACCTCCGTACAGCAGTACCTGTTGAAAGGTTTGCAAGGAAAAAGAAAACAGAACTGGAGCTTCTGGTGCAGGCAGCAGGAAGAGATATACGAGTAGTATATGTACTACTGAGGGGTATGTTTTATGTAGCAGAACAGACAACCTCTAAGTGGGATCTTCACGAAGCTGAATCCACTCCTACCTAAGCCAGCCTCCTCCTTGAGATCCCTTAGCAAACTGCAGCGTCCAAGACGGCAGACACCAAACGTTTAACCTGCCTCGGTCGCTCACGCTCCTCTAAGGGTCGGGATGAGCCGCAGACGGAGGGAGACGCTAACAGAAACGGGAAGAACACTTGTTCAACGGCGAGCGGAGGGGGGAATCCCAGACCGTTTCGCTCCCCGGAAACCCGTGCCGGCGCAGCCGGCAGTTTTCAGGCCACCTCGGCCAGGGCGTCTGATCCGCAGCGGCGCTGGG